TCTAAGTCACATACAGTGACAGTCATTACCAAGGACATAATCTCTGCTAAAACTGTCAATGGAGAATACTGAAGGAGCATAAATCTGAGTACTTGGTGGTATAAGGAGTGATGAACAGTTAGGTGGAGTATAAAAGTGATAAGGAGGAACTATTCTTGGTTAACTGAAGCACGATTATTAAAACTCAGAGAGTGAAATCAAGGTCCAACCTGAAGATCCGAAAAGCAAAACAGCCAACTACTGACTCTTACCTTGGCTTCAGTCCAAAATGGCGATCCTGCCTCCAGGAATCTAAGAATGAGACTGAGCCTGAGAGTTGTTTCATCCCTTCTTAGAATCTTCTCTAGTTCTGGGATTAAAGGCGTGTACCACCCAGTTTCTTTGGCAACTAGTGTGGCTATTGGAGTTAAAGGTATATGTCATTGTGGATACTGATATTAAAGGTGTGTATTACCATTACCTGGTCTGTAAGGCTGACCAGTGGGGCTGTTTTACTCTCAGATCTTTAGGCAGGCTTTATTTATTAAAATACAATTGAAATGCTACTATAGTTAGCTGAAATGAAGGAGGTCCAGTTGACCAAGATAAGACTTCCTGAGGGGGAAAAAAAACTCATAAAGGGGTGTGAGCAGGGTAGGAAGGACCAAAAGTTTGGTTTTGAAACTTTCAAACTTATATTATGAAGGCATTTTGATAAATATGTCTGAGGCCAGAAGGAGAGACCGGGATGAGGATACAGATGGAGGGCTTCTCAACACATTCGTCACATATTCTTTTCTGTTGATGATAGGAGCAAGGGTTTCTATTGACACCCCCCCCCAAGGACTTAAGGAATCTGAGTCTCCTGAAATACTTTTTTAATTTTCTTTTTCTTTTTTATTTGAACATAACTATATTTTTACTTTTTAATTTATTTTTATATTTAATTTTTAAAAAATAAAATAAAGTATCTTTTTTCATTATACAGATTAATCCAAGTTTCCACTTCCTCCTTTCCTCCCATTCCCTCCACATAACCTCCCATCCCACCCCCATCCAAACCTCAGAGGTGGTAAGGCACATTGCTTTGGGAAAGGTCCAAGGCCCTCCCTATTATATTTAGGCTGAGCAAGGTATCCATCCAAAGATAACAGGTTCCCGAAAAGTCAGTACATGCAGTAGAGATAAATCCTGGTGCCACTGCCAGTGGCCCCTCAGTCTGCCCCAGCCATGCAACTGTCAACCACATTCAGAGGGACTAGTTTGGTCCTATGCTTGTTCCTTCCCAGTCCAGCTGAAGTTGGTGAGCTCCCATTAGCTCAGGTAGGCTGTTTCAGTGGGTGAACCCTGCCCTCTTTGCTCATATTCTCATTCCTCCCACTCTTCAGCTGAACTTTGGGAGCTCAGTCCAGCACTACACTGTGGATCTCTGCCCCTGTTTCCATCAGTTGCTGGATGAAGGTTCTATGGTGATATCCAAGATATTCATCAGTTTGACTACAGGGCAAGTCAAGATCAGGCCCCCTCTCCTCTATTGCTTAGGGTCTTAGTTGGGGTCATCTTTGTGGTTTCCTGGGAATTTCCATAGAGCCAGGTTTCTGCTAACCCTATAAAGGCTCCCTTAATCAAGATATCTCTTTCCTTGCTCTCATTTCTGTCCTTCCTCCATCTCAACTTTCTTATTTTCAAAGTAATTTTTATATTTGAGGGTTGATGAGGGCAATAATGTAAATTGGTCATAATAAAATCTACAACTTGCCAGGTGGTGGTGGTGCACACCTTTAATCCCAGCACTCAGGAGGCAGAGGCAGGCAGATCATTGTGAGTTTGAGGCCAGCCTGGTCTATTAGAGCTAATTACAGGGCAGGCTCCAAAGCTACAGAGAAACTCTGTCTCGAAAAACAAACAAACAAAAAAATCTACAACTCAAAAAAAAAATTAGAGATCACAGGAGAAAATGAAGTAAAAATTTAGACAAGAGTGTCCAAGGCGGAAATGTTAAGTTAGAACACAAAAGAATGGCCTGTACAAAACAAATAATGTCCTAAAAATGAGCTTAGGCATCCAGCAAGCACAGCTAGCAGGTGAAACAGGTGGTTCTCAGTTAACACATCTGAAGAAGTCAAGGCAAGCAAGAATAGCCATTGGATTCTCAGTAAAGAAGACGTGGATGATTCTAATAAGAGAAGCTAGCTCCCTTGGAAGGAGTGAGTCAATAAAGACACAAGTGAACCTGTGAAAAAAGAGTGAAGTAGTGTCCTGGTTAGGTGTTTTGTTTTGTTTTGTTTTGTTTTGTTTTGTTTTTGTGAACTCAACACAAGCTAGAATTATCTGGAAAGAGGGAATCCCAGTTGAGAAAGTGCCCCCATGAAATTGGCTTGTAGGCAAGTCTACATGGCATTTTTCTTGAGTCCTGATTGGTGTGGGAGGACCTAGCTCTCTGTCGGTGGTGCCCCGTCTGAGCAGGCAGCTCTGGAGTGTATAAAAATGCAAACAAGTTAGGAGGAGCAAAACCAGTGAGCAGAGATTTTCCATAGCTTCTGCTTCACTTTTCACATCCAGGTTTCTTCCCTGCTTAGGTTCCTGACTTGAGTTCCCTGGATAATGGACTATAAGCTACAAAATGGAAGAAGCCCTTTCTTCCCAGGTTGTTTTCGGTCATGGTGTTTTATCACAGCAAAAGAAATTCATAACTAAGACAAGGAAGTAGCTGGAGAAGGCCAGGTACAAGGTGGACACTACTTCTTCCAAAAGATAAAAAGGATCTTATATATATTCAGCTAGTAATTTTTCAAAAATACAAAATCCTTAAATAATAATTACCAAACCAACACATGAAAGAAACCAAATTAATCAGAAAACTAATACTAGAGATGTATATGAGTTTTGGTTAAGGATTATGTACTGAGTTGAACCCTCCATAACAAACTTTTAGATGGGTGAGAGAGAATGAATTTTTCACTGCCAGAAATCTAAGAAAAACTAGTAACAGCAATCCATCTATTCTCCTTTTACCTTCTTTTGTTATTCAAAGAATATCTCTCTCAGCTAATATGCTATCTTTAGAATGGAAATGGCCTGGACCTCAAAGAAGAGCTATGTGTATACACATATTGAAAGTTGCAAGATATATAATCCAGCTCACATTGAGTGTTTGCATTCTCAGACGTCAAACACAAAGCAAGCATATTCTTTGGGGGTCACCTTGTTCATTTCCTCATTTGAAATTTTAACACCAGATAGGATGTTAAATCAGTAGGAGCTGGCGCTGCTCTCACTTGGGCTTCAAACATCCTCCATATGTATAAACACATCCATAAATAAAGGTGCTAATGTCAGGAACGAAGATCTTTTAATAAAGTACACTAGCCCTAGCACACAGAGCTGCCTTTATATCAGAGGTCGCTCTAGAGCCTCGTTCACAATTAAACACTATCTGTTTAAATGAATTACTTTCCCCCTTCCATTTCTGCAGATGCTGAAAACGTGCATCTCTAAAGGTGCTATTTATATATTTAATTTTGATTTCTATTATTTTAATACTACCATTCTATCTTATCATGAATAATAGGTACACAGGGGGAGAAGTGTAGCTAGAAGTATTACTCATTGTAGGAAAGCCGTCAGGAAGCCGAGGCCTGGTCTTCCCCAAGGTTTTTGACTGCATGATCATTGCTTCAGGACTTACACCTTCTTAAGAGAAAGCCAAGGTCACAGTCATGCCCATCCATTTTCTTCCTTATAATAATTATGAGCCCGTCTGCATCAAAAGAGAATAGCCATTGCCATACAGATGTTGTAGAAATAGCAATAGTTAAACAGTTTCCTTTACCACCTATTAAAAAATGTTCTGTTATTTTTTTCCCAGTTTATGACATCTTCCTCCAAAGAAAATACACAGAGCACAGCAGTATTTGTCTTTATGAAACGGGTTCAGTTATTCTTACCTAGCTCACAGAAGATTCTCATTTTAGCACACCTACACACAGGTGACATTTCAGCTTCTGAGTCTGACGTATGTTGGTATTTTATCCCTGGGCCTCTCTGTGTGGGCATGTATCTCTATTCGTGGTCATTCTCCTCTGCGTGGGCGCATTCCTATTCACGGTCATTCTGTCAACGTAGGCTTTACCTTTCCAGAGGATATGGCCTGAAAAGGACATGAGACACTTTATTACCCGCTGCCTTGGCAAATAGCAAGTTAGTCTCTACAGTCTCAGTCAAGGGCTTTCAGTCTCGGAATGGGTCAGGGAAATCACGTGTTCCATAATTGCCCCTCACATGTCACAGCTCTGATGTCGCAGTGATGACGAATCGCTGTCACATATGAACATGTTTGTCTGTTTGTTTTATGTTTCCTAGGATCCTAAGTACCTCTTGCTAGAGTCAGTTGGCCAGTTTCTGGGGGAGCTTGTGATTGCCATATGTTGAGAATGTATAAAGTTTGCTGCCTCTCCTCCCCTAGGGTCAGGGGGAGGACTTGAAGCAAAAGTTCCTGTGATTGTTTAGCTCCAGCGTGAGAAAGTCTGATCATAAGCTGCTGAGTCATTAGAAAAAGACTGAGTAGCGAATTGTTTCAATGGTGGCATGATTTTTCAAAGAATGGGGATTGTCATAGTGACATGAAAAAGTTAGCATCTCTCTTTAAACCCAGAGAAACTGGTAACATTGTCACACTATTGATATCACAGATGAGCCATCCCCTGGAGATAATATTTTGGATGGCTTTGGAAGAAAATCTTGAGGGGCACAGCTGTCCAAAGACAGCTTCAGGCCCGGATAGAATAGACTCGTATCAGTCTTGCTGGGGTTGTGGTGCGAAGGGGACTGACTACATCTCAACAACCCCTTCTCCAAAGGCCTTCGTTGAAGAGATCCTTAGGGGTAAGCCTGCAGGTCTCCACTCATTTCGGGAGAGGATAAAAGTGCTGCATGGTTTGAGAGCTACACATGACCCCTAGTAGCTAGGTTGCTAAGGCCGACTTGACTGACAGAGAACTCTTTGTCTCTCCTCTGCCTAGGTGCAAGTGCAACCTGCACGCCACTGTGTGTGTCTATGACAACAGCAAACTGACGTGTGAATGTGAGCACAACACAACAGGTCCAGACTGCGGGAAATGCAAGAAGAATTATCAGGGCCGACCATGGAGTCCAGGCTCATACCTCCCTATCCCCAAAGGCACCGCAAACACCTGTGAGTAGCTGGGCTCCATTCCATGTCCTGTGCATGACGAATGGTTTCTTCCTTCGTTCCTCTTGCAATTGTGACTTTGCTTCTTTCCTCTTCAAAATGCAGCCGAAGATTTATTCCAGATCTTGCCATTTGCAAGTGTGTGTTAGCATTGTAATCACCTGTTAGAGTCAGTCCTCTAACCTTCCCACTGTAGTGCAAAATAGTTCATAAAAATTGCAGAGGTAATTTTGTTCTAAGTAGATGAAACAGGAGGTAATCCCCACCCCCCCAAATTAATAGCACAGGCCAGGAAAATTCTCAATACCGACTAGCCGTAAACAAGTTCCAGAAACCTTTGGGTATTGACACTTCCGTTTCTATTTCTCACAGGGAGTAAGCCAAAAATTGCTTTGTCCAGTGAAGGTTAGCCCCTCCAATTCTAGGTAGCACGCAATGTTGCCTAGGGAGAGAGGCAGCTTTTTGCAAATGCCAGACACCAAGCCATGACCGCTTTGGATTCTTTCAGCGAGGGATGCCTTTGGATAAAAAGCATGACTGCAGGCCTCAGGGTGCCACATAAAGAAAAGAGGCATAGGCAGCATCTGTGTTCTCAGGGACCACATGCAATGCCCATGAAGACTCATGTCATCCCTACATATGTAAAGACCGAGCTTGACATGCTGGAGGAAAAAGAGGATGATTTCCCGACTAATCAGCACAGTTCTGAGGACAGAAAGATTAGCCCCCTGGAAAAGTCTAAAGTTTGCCCTCTTTAAAAAGCAGAGGAACAGCAAGATAAGCACAGAACTGCACAGCAAGACGTCTGAAGAGCCACAGGACAGTGAGAAGCTGAAGAGCAAGCCACAGGCTCCATGCGAGGCAAACAATTTTATCTGGCACTTCAGAGCAACAGCTGGGAGAAGTCAGCGCTGACAACCGGTATCACAAGAAGCCGAACTTTATCAAGTTACATGTCGCAGTAATGGACCAGGTAACAAGTTATGAAGTGTGGGGACAGGAAATTAAGATACATTTTTATGAAGCAGAAAAAAATCTTCCCAGAAGTGAAAAAAGAATCCCTTTGTAAGAATGTTCAGTTTATCTCTGTGTTAAAAAACTGACTTCTTGCTACTAGAATTAATATATTAAAGCTCTGTTAAGCAGAAACGTTGTTTTTTTTTTTCTAGGTGATTTCTAGGGGACTTGAAGCTTTCTGTGGTCATTGAAAGCCATGGACTCGAGACTTTGGAAATGATCTCCTGAGGTTGTCTGTTGCTCTCTTGTATGTCTGACTACCTGAGATCTCCCATCGGCACAGCTGTCAAGCTTAGTTTAAGGCTTCCTCTAAGTGAAAACGGTTCAGAGTTCAGCTTCATGTCCTGATGGTTACTAGGAGAGTAGGAAAAGGGCCAAGTTCACCCAACTTTCTAGCATTCTGCTCCAGGCTCAGAGTCAGACCTTGCCAAGGTCACTGGAAGGGCAGTGGGTAGTTACTATTGGCTTCACCCTAACACCACCCCATTCTACCTGTTCACTCTGCCTCAAATAATTGGTTTTTTGTAAGATTTCCTCTAGGAAGACCTTGATGCTGAGTAGCTCCCTTCCTGAAATGAGTTTCTTGCGATATTCTCCAGAGGGTGGTTTTACTCCCTTAGCCGTTTGCATATTAAATACCACCAAGTTAGTCCTGGCCAAGAGATCATATCCTCCTTTGATTTTTCCCTATAGCCCTGATGGTTCAACTATCCACTTTCCTGTTTTTGACTGACCTTCTATGAACTAACAGAATTCTTTCACATCTGTGTTCGTGCAACATAGTGACATATGGACCCAACGGTTAATAGTGGCTAAGGGATCAATTCAAACTTCCAGTCATCAATAGGGCAAAATCTTGGTAAAAGACTTTAGATATTATATAGAATATGCTTGAAACTGACATACTTTCTAGCATTTCAGGCTTTAATTTAAACACCCATTAACGACAATAAACACTTCCACAAGTTGGCAGTGTGTTACAAGATCAAATCCACAGTCCTCTATTTGCTAATGACCTGTCCTCTCCAACATCCTGTTTCCCACTCTTGGATAATCGTTCTTCCTTCATAGCATTTTAAGATTAAGATGCCAACTCACAAAATATGTTTTGCATAATACCTTCACAAAGTGTACAAAATCAGTTCAAGATTCTTTCATATGACGGTCTTACCCACTGCTGGATAGCTTTGCTAATGTAATTGATTTTGTAACTTCAGTGTTGCATAGCTCCTAACCTTGACCCTTTCTATCTTTCAAAGTAGTATTAGAACTCTATTCATCCTAGTTTTATTTATTCCAGGTTAACAATCTTCCAACCCATATCCCATCTTCATGTGAAAATGCTTCCATGTCACTTAGTCAGAGAAGCCCTCTAGTTCATTACTATGGTTCTTAAACCCAAGTACCAAGCTCTTCTCTTCTATAAGGCTTATGGAAAAGGCATCTTTCTTGTCTCTCTAATTATCTCTATTCTATATTTTTTAAATAAAGGTACTTTGAATTTCACTTTGTTTTCCAGAACCTCCTTCACTTTCATGGATCTCCTTCCATATTGTCTGTTCTCACATGCATGCGTGTGTTAGCACATGCATGTACACCATTACATGACTTTATTCCGTGCATTATGAGTCAACTACCTCTCTCAGAGACTCTTAGAAGGTCACACCTCCATAACAAACAAAGTCATTGACATAAAAAGAAAAGAAGAGATTGAAACCTTCAGCATCCACCTCAGTGACCTGGAGATGCCACCATTCAGAAGTAATCTCTACCCTTAGAATCACAAGTAGGTAGGAGAACATCAGATTCTGTGTTCTTGTACAGGTTTGCGCTAGAAAGGCAGGAGAGTTTCATCATGAGTTGCACTTCAAGGATACCTAGACTACCATTTAGGAACAACTCTAACTGGAACCTTGCTTCGAGTTTCTGAGCTGTAAAGTTATTGTATTTTAGAGCAACTCTGAGCCTCTTTCTCATGACACGTATAGCCCCAAGGAAGAAGAGTGTAGAATACTAATACTCAAAAATAAAATCACCATAGCCTGCTGGATATATAGTACTATTCTCTGCATTTTTACTATAATAAACTTGAACAATGTTAAGTAAGAACTTCTCCGATGATATTTTTTCATTGTGCTAGTATTCAAGACCCAGTGTCTTTAAAGACATATGCACGTTCATAAAGATCTTTGTCTTTTCTCCTAAAAAGCTTATTTTATAGGAATGGCATCTTTTTGTCTCCTTAATGATCTCTATTCTACTTTTAATAGAATGCATTTTTAAATGTCCTTTGAATTTCATTTTTATTTTCCAAATAAAAAGAAGCTCTGTCCAACATAGTGCCTAACCATGATTCTCTTGATTTCTATTGTTCAAATCATGCATAAGGCATTCAGTAGCAATCTCCAAACTCTTACCCCTGTGGTATATGCAATATAAGCATGATTTTTTTACATGCAACTTAATAATATCCTTGTAAAAGCCATATTTACATCAAAATGTAACGTCTCAACATCTGTTTCTCAAACTGTGCTCTTTTACCTATAGAAAAACTCTAACAGGCCGAGGAAATGACTCTATGGGTAACACAATTTATATGCAAGTATAAGGATCTGAGTTATGATACACAGAGCCCACTTAAAGCCAGATATTGTAGTGAACATCTGTAATCCCAGCACTCCTACCTGGAGATGGGAGGTGGAGACAGAAGACTGTAGAATGGTGGTTCTCAGCATATGGGTCACTACCCCTTTAGATGCGAAGGGCCCTTTTCCAGGGGTCACCTAAGACCATCAGAAAACATATTGCTATTCATAACATTAGCACAATTACTGTTACAAAGTAGCAATAAAAATAATTTTATGGTTGGGGTCATTGCAACATTAGGAATTAAAGTGTCACAGTACTAGGAAGGTTGAGAAACACTGCTGTAGAAGGTCATGAGCCAGCCAGTCAAGAGGGTGGGAGGCAGCCACTGACACAGAAGGCTATCTTCTGACCTCTATACATGCAACATGGCAAGTACATACCTGATTTATACGTGTAAACACCTGCCTACACACACCATACACAGAAAACAGTCTTCTTTCATGCTATGGCAAAAGAATTAGAAAATTCTATTATACTAAGTTTTACATACTCACAATCACATTATTAGAAATATCTAAGAAGTTCTGGCTTAAATTAACCTGTTTGACTCAGTATTTCCCAAACTTCTTTTTATTTCCTTGAACACCCAGTAGCTTTCTACGAAACACTCTTGTGGGGCATGCTGATCTAAACAATTTCTTGCAGTGTGACCTTAAGAACAGCATGGAAACAGACAAAAGCACAGTCAGTTCCTCTGTATTCTTATTTTTACCTTTCTCTAAAAGACCTAGTCTAATATTCTTCAAGGAAGGAAAATTAAATTGATCTGACTTGGGCCTTATTTGTCTGTTTGGCTATCCAACTTGAATTGTTGTACAAAGTCTCCCACTCCTCTGAGTAATGGGAAGTAATTTGATGACTATTCTATTATTTTCCCTGATATTAAATTTGCATTGACCAGTTTCTATAGTCCCAGATGTACACATGGATGCATCATGATCCAGTCAGTTTCCTGAGCACTTTAGATGCATTAGTCCCTTCTAGACTCACACCCAATCTTTTAAGGTTGATGCTATGGTTTTTAATTTTCACGTATGGAAAACATATGACTATGATTCTTGGGATTCAAGTTTGCACAGGGAGCAGGGGTGGGGTGAAAACTTAAGCCAAGGTTTATCTTTCCTCTACACATTTCCCACTACACATTGCGGGTTATTTGAAATGACCATCTCTGTCTCCACAGGGACTTGAGCTCCACTTTGACATCCATTCAAATAAGAGAGTCTTCTCTAAGTCCCATGACTTCTCTAAACTCTAATTGTTACTTCCTGCTCTTGAAACCATCCCGCCTGCCCCTGCTTATTTCCCAGCCCTGACTCTTGTCACTCTGCAGCCAC